ACTGTCGTTTTTTTTTCGGGCCGAATTTTTGAGTTTCGATATCTCAGCTCTGGAAGGGGCTAGAGCCTCCATTTTTGCACTCAGGTCTAAGTCTCATGGCCCTCTATCAGAATCCAGAGTTTTGGGAAGATTGGAGAAACTTAATTTTTCGCCAAAAAAAAAAAACGTAAGGGGTACCACTGTCGTTTTTTTTTCGGGCCGAATTTTTGAGTTTCGATATCTCAGCTCTGGAAGGGGCTAGAGCCTCCATTTTTGCACTCAGGTCTAAGTCTCATGGCCCTCTATCAGAATCCAGAGTTTTGGGAAGATTGGAGAAACTTAATTTTTCGCCCAAAAAAAAAAACGTAAGGGGTACCACTGTCGTTTTTTTTTCGGGCCGAATTTTTGAGTTTCGATATCTCAGCTCTGGAAGGGGCTAGAGCCTCCATTTTTGCACTCAGGTCTAAGTCTCATGGCCCTCTATCAGAATCCAGAGTTTTGGGAAGATTGGAGAAACTTAATTTTTCGCCAAAAAAAAAAAACGTAAGGGGTACCACTGTCGTTTTTTTTTCGGGCCGAATTTTTGAGTTTCGATATCTCAGCTCTGGAAGGGGCTAGAGCCTCCATTTTTGCACTCAGGTCTAAGTCTCATGGCCCTCTATCAGAATCCAGAGTTTTGGGAAGATTGGAGAAACTTAATTTTTCGCCCAAAAAAAAAAACGTAAGGGGTACCACTGTCGTTTTTTTTTTCGGGCCGAATTTTTGAGTTTCGATATCTCAGCTCTGGAAGGGGCTAGAGCCTCCATTTTTGCACTCAGGTCTAAGTCTCATGGCCCTCTATCAGAATCCAGAGTTTTGGGAAGATTGGAGAAACTTAATTTTTCGCCAAAAAAAAAAAAAAAAAAAACGTAAGGGGTACCACTGTCGTTTTTTTTTCGGGCCGAATTTTTGAGTTTCGATATCTCAGCTCTGGAAGGGGCTAGAGCCTCCATTTTTGCACTCAGGTCTAAGTCTCATGGCCCTCTATCAGAATCCAGAGTTTTGGGAAGATTGGAGAAACTTAATTTTTCGCCCAAAAAAAAAAACGTAAGGGGTACCACTGTCGTTTTTTTTTTCGGGCCGAATTTTTGAGTTTCGATATCTCAGCTCTGGAAGGGGCTAGAGCCTCCATTTTTGCACTCAGGTCTAAGTCTCATGGCCCTCTATCAGAATCCAGAGTTTTGGGAAGATTGGAGAAACTTAATTTTTCGCCCAAAAAAAAAAACGTAAGGGGTACCACTGTCGTTTTTTTTTTCGGGCCGAATTTTTGAGTTTCGATATCTCAGCTCTGGAAGGGGCTAGAGCCTCCATTTTTGCACTCAGGTCTAAGTCTCATGGCCCTCTATCAGAATCCAGAGTTTTGGGAAGATTGGAGAAACTTAATTTTTCGCCCCAAAAAAAAAAACGTAAGGGGTACCACTGTCGTTTTTTTTTTCGGGCCGAATTTTTGAGTTTCGATATCTCAGCTCTGGAAGGGGCTAGAGCCTCCATTTTTGCACTCAGGTCTAAGTCTCATGGCCCTCTATCAGAATCCAGAGTTTTGGGAAGATTGGAGAAACTTAATTTTTCGCCCAAAAAAAAAAACGTAAGGGGTACCACTGTCGTTTTTTTTTTCGGGCCGAATTTTTGAGTTTCGATATCTCAGCTCTGGAAGGGGCTAGAGCCTCCATTTTTGCACTCAGGTCTAAGTCTCATGGCCCTCTATCAGAATCCAGAGTTTTGGGAAGATTGGAGAAACTTAATTTTTCGCCCAAAAAAAAAACGTAAGGGGTACCACTGTCGTTTTTTTTTTCGGGCCGAATTTTTGAGTTTCGATATCTCAGCTCTGGAAGGGGCTAGAGCCTCCATTTTTGCACTCAGGTCTAAGTCTCATGGCCCTCTATCAGAATCCAGAGTTTTGGGAAGATTGGAGAAACTTAATTTTTCGCCCAAAAAAAAAAACGTAAGGGGTACCACTGTCGTTTTTTTTTTCGGGCCGAATTTTTGAGTTTTGATATCTCAGCTCTGGAAGGGGCTAGAGCCTCCATTTTTGCACTCAGGTCTAAGTCTCATGGCCATACCCGGCGCTATGGGCGGGCCTTAGAGGGCCGGGCCCGCCTACCGAGCGCCTGTGCCCCCTCTCCATGCAATTTGCAATTAATAAATTTTAAAAAGAAATTTATTTTAAAAATAAAAATAATGTATTGAATAACTCATGCGGAGATTCCACTCCCAAAAACGTCGACTTCAGCTGTATTAAGAACATGAGTGGGCCAGTTATTTTTATTACTCTTCTTAAGTTGCACCAGCCCTGACACAATGCTAAATCATAAAACAGATATGTACAATAACATTACGATATCCTTTAATCGATTTAAATAGTTATTGATTTAGGTTTATGTGGTCGTTCAATTACGCCTTTATATTTTTATTAAACGTGAATGTAAATAATGGTCATGGGGTAGAACTTTTGCCAAGCGTGCCAGAGATTCTGGGTTCTAATCCATTCTAATAACATTTTTTTTTCCATCAAAACTGATTATGTTTATCAGTGGTTGTATATCAGGCACAGACAAAACATCTTCAGAACATTTTGTGTTTTAATTTCACCGTAATGAATAGAGTCTCTCCACAACGGATTGCGCGTCCGAGTGAAGACTGTGCGCAAGCCAGAAAAAAAAAACACATTAGCCTATCCGCGCCAGCGGCAACGAGCATTAATTTGAACGGTTGATTTTAAAAACACATTTCAGCGCTAGATCGTCTCTTATTTAAAAAACGAACGAAACGAATGCTCTGCTAGTTAACGGAAGATGTTTTGTTTATTTGTATTGGTACATTCGTGCCGGAATGTTTCAAAAGTGGTGGGTACAATATCGACGGTGGGGACATATCCCACCCGCAAATTACGCCTGGTACTTGAAATCGGCGTAATAGTTGGTTTTTGTCCTATAGAAAAATGTATTGGATGTCATAATTAGCCCCCCCCCTACAATATTAAATGCCCGTCCATTGGTTTGTTTCTGCAGCCGGCTCTGGTTTAAATTTTTATTAAGCACTAAATTTCTGCATAATTAAGGGTGTGGCCACTTGAGTGATGTCACTAGCCATTTTTCTACTGTCTGTTAGAATCACGTCACCTCAGCTAATCCGCCTCTTTGCCCATTTTCTAATATCCGGAAGTGACGGGCTACCAAGATGGTGATGGTAAATGCTCTTAATCAAGGACACTACGTCCATATTTTTTTCCAGTCTATGGTAGAAACTGATGGTTATGGTAAGGCGTGGGACATTTCCCAAACACACTCGAAGCACTCGACCAATCACAACTCACTCCTCCAGCCGACCAATCAGAGCACAGTGTGCTTTTCAGAAGGAGGGGTTTCATAGAGACAAGAAGTAAACAGAGCGATACTGACAGCAACAATGGAGAACATGAGGAAAATAATCAATATTCAAGCAGGAAAACAACATCAACACTTTGTAAAAAGGCATACTATGACCTCTTTAATAATAGAAAATATTTCTAATAGATAATATCCTCACCATAACCATAACAACACAGGAAAGACACATTTGAATTACTGTCAGGGCCATTTTGTTCCAGCTGATGAATGATAAAAACATCAGAGTTGAAATCGCTTGAGCACTTAAAGTGGCGGACAACGTAACTGCATTATGTGCTTATAATAAAAAGAATATTGTCAGGCTTTGACGTGGATGCTAATATCCTAATAGTTCTTGCTGTGAACAGTCCTTTACACCAGGGAGATTTGGCGTTAAGAAAAAAGCAAAGCCAATATTGTTATGCTGCTAATGAAAGATGCAATAATACTCTCCAGAACACATACAAGATGTGTGAAGACAGATCGGTCACAGTGATGAAGGCCGCTAGAGATTGCAAGACCATTATTCAGCCTGGACTGACAAACAGCAATTACCCCAATCGACAGATAACAAGAGCAGGGTGATCATTCAGTGACGTCCCATAAAGCAGTGGGACATTACCATACTCGCGCTATACTGTACATCTCTCCACAACTTCACCAACTTGTTGGAGCTCCAACGGTGATGAAGGATTCACTAAATCAAGCCTGAGCTCCATTGGCAAAGCAAACGATGGCACTCAATCAGCAAGACAATGGCATGACTCTATTAAAATGCACAACCGAGCCTACAATGGGATGAGTCAGACAGCCGGTCTCCATTATGTTTCAACAAACTGACCTGAGTGCTAATTTTCAATCATCCATGGTCTCATTACTTTCATGCATTCGTCCATTTGTTCGTTCAAGCTGATGTCTGTTCATCCATCGGTCCATTCATTACTATACATTACTTAATATTCTGATTTCTTTTGATTATTTTAATTTCTTCCATGTAAAGCACTTTGAATTGCCACTGTGTATGAAATGTGCTATATAAATAAACTTGCCTTGCCTTGCCTATACCACTCTTTCTCTGCATTCATCTGTCTGTTTGTCCTTCCATCATCCTTCAAACCTCATGTTTATATAAATCCTGTGCACATGCATAAAAATAATCCATTAATTTATACATTGGTCCAGGCTGTCCCAAACTGATGATTAATTAAAGACTTAAGATGTATAGTCATCTTTATTTATATAGTGCTTTTTTACAATACAGATTCACAGTGATAACATGAAATTAATAAAAGTTTGTTTCTAGAAGAATATTTATATAATTAAATAAATATATAATTATTAAAATTGTAAAAAAAAAATTATATAATAATTAAATTATAGTATAATTAAAAATGTTAATAATTAAATATTTTATATATATAATAATTCATAAAATAATGATTATTTAATATAGTAGCCACACCCAAAACTCTCCGTCTGCTACAGTAGCCATGCCCCAAACTCTCCATCTGTCAAAGTAGCCACGTCCCAAACTCAGTAGCCACGCCACGAACTCTCCATCTGCCAAAGTAGCCACGCCCCAAACTCTCCATCTGCTACAGTAGCCACGCCCCAAACTCAGTAGCCACGCCACAAACTCTCCATCTGCTGCAGTAGCCATGCCTCGAACTCTCCATTTGCCGCACATAGCCACACCCCAAACTCTCCATCTGCTGCAGTAGCCACGGCCCAAACGAAGTAGCCACACCCCAAACTCTCCATCTGCTACAGTAGCCACACTCCAAACTCAGTCGCCATGCCCCATACTCTCCATCTGCTGCAGTAGCCACATCCCAATCTCTCCATCTGCTACAGTAGCCACACCCTATACTCTCCATCTGCTGCAGTAGCCACACTCCAAACTCAGTCGCCACGCCCCATACTCTCCATCTGCTGCAGTAGCCATGCCCCAATCTATCTGTCTGCTACAGTAGCCATGCTCCAAACTCAGTAGCCACGCCCCAAACTCTCCATTTGCTGCAGTAGCCACGCCCAAAACTATCCGTCTGCTACAGTAGCCACGCCCCAAACTCTCCGTTTGCTTGGGTTAAGAGAATATTTGAAGATAAAACTAAAATCACCTACGTAAAACACTTCCTAAAAAAGCAGAATCCATTTACTCTTATGTCCTGTGACCATCAGAGAACTAAGAGCATGTAAATGCTGCACGGGCAGATGCTGGAGAGCTGAAGCACATCTGCGCTCCACATTCTGGCGCAACCTTGACCTCCCCTGAGTTTGCCATCCTTTATTCCCCCAGCATGGTTTCCTCATCCAGCGTGTTATTTGCAGCTGGCTATTTGGCCGACAAAAAGCTCCAGGGCCCTCGTCGCATGAGCATTTCCGCGCCGACTACCTTTCACGAGCACGCTGCAGTTTTTAATAAGGCCGAGTCAATGGCAGAGAGGAGGGCAGGGAAAACATTGCCCTGTTAGGGCCAGATCATTTCACTTTCACTGCAAAAAGTCCTTGGCACAGAGTCATCAGGTTGGTTTTCAAACACTATGGCTTTATAATTTTGCAGATGTCTCACTGCATACCATGTTAAAGGACACTGATTCTATATAATATCTCTTCAGGAGATCACCTCTTGATGGAAATAAAGCTGGTCTGTTATTTCCATCAAAAGGTGCATCAATCTTTGGTCAAGATCTTGTCCTGCACTCTGTAAAGTCTTCTCCAGCACATCCCACAAACTTTCAATGAATTTAAGGTGCAGATTCATGTATACAAATGATAAATCTTGGCATTGTCATCAAGGAATATGGCCACATCTTCCAACATGGTTGTTTAAGAAATTAAAAGCTACACACTCCGATTAGGGTTAGAAGAACTGTTACAAACATGGGTAACACTTTATTTTACAATGTCCTTGTTACATATGTTACATATGTTACATGTACAGTACTCACCAAAGTAATAACAGTCAATTAAGCATACTTACATGCAACTAACCCTAAACTAAACCCTAATCCTATAGGAAGTACATGTAGTTGCTTAAAGCTGCACCGTGTGATTTTTACCCCCATCTAGCGGTGAAAAGGTATATGACCATCCAGTGAATATTAGTTTCTGTTCCTCTCAATTCCGATTTCGTTTTAACTCCTACGGTGGCCAATGTAGTCAAAGATTAACATGGCTTCCAGTTCGACCTCGTCCATGAGTCGAAACCGAAAAGTAAACGCGAAAGGCGAAGCTTTAATTAATGTCCCTCTTTTGGCTAATGTACTTTCAAGATGGAGGGTCAACATGGCGACTGACATTAGAACCCCTTACCCGTATGTATTTTCAATGGCATATTATACACTCACGAGAATACTTTATTACTTGAATTAAGTAAATATACATTATTGAGCACACATATTTTTGAAAGAACTAAGTGTTTTAGCTAAGAATAAACTAAAAGAGTTACACAGTGTAGCTCTAATATTACTCAGTACTTAAATATATAACAATGACACCTTAAAATAAAGTGTAACCCAAACATAAAAAATACTCAATCATTGACTCTTAATCATTTGCATATATAAATCCAAACAGGCTTTACTAACCTTGTTAACTTCCAGTACTTCTCTCCTCTCTTCGCTGGATACACGCGTTTGATTTGTCATTCGCTCGTCTAGTTTAGGACTGTCATCCTCTACATAGGGGATCAGTTGCTAAAACAGAAAGTAAATATAAAACAATCAAACCAATTTCATGCTATAATAGTTCTACAAAAGAAGAATCAGGCAATGGTAAAAAAAAAAAAAAATCAATTAAATTTCATAAAATACACAGATATGTTTAAATAGCAGTCAATGGTGAAAGATGCTTTTTTTGTTCGGGATGGTGTAGTTACAGCGATCTACCAGCAGGGGCAAACCAGCTAAAAGACAGACGAGCCAGGAGAGGTTTAACAATTATTTGATTTATGTTTATTTTATTTTTTTTAATGCTCAACTGAAGAAGAATCTCACCAAAGTCTCACTACACTCGAGACTCAACTTGCAATCTGAATCCTTCCTGAAGAAAAATCTTGGATTAAAAATGTATGAAAAAGATGGTATTTGTGTGCTGAAATATGAATTTTGTTAGTTGGGTTATCTCTAGGCAGCTTAAAAGACTGAACTAGGGTCAAGCTGGGCTGTTATCCAAAGCTACATGAAAAATAATATGAAGGACAAAAACCACAGTTTGAATATAATTTAGTGTAAACATTTACAGTGGTGACCTACTGTCTAAACAACACGAGAGCTTAAGAGATGAGATTGTAAGGTTTAACAACCTGGTTATGCCACAGTAATGGATTGTTGCATAATTCATCACGGGAGAAATCAACACTTAGGTTTTAGGTCTTACAGCTTAACAGCCTCTGCTATTTTGCCCAAATAAATCACTCATCAGGCACTGCACTTTTGGCTTTCAGATGAAAAGGTTTGAATAATTGAACTTGTTCACAGATAGTCCGAGCCGTTCGACAGCACGGACGGGCTCCAGGAAAAGCAGACCAGCTTTGGTTCCACTTGTTTCCCTCGGTTCACATGGTTTGCGTTCCCACATCAGTAAAGTGTCTCATTCTTTTTGTCATGTTCCATCATCCTGTGACCTTGCCGAACAGCCTCGGTTTAACATCTCCTCGGTTTAACATCATAGTGACACCTGCTGGTGTTCTGCTTGAGGAGTCGGTGCGTGCAACTGAAGAAAAAGGTTTGCAGAAGTCGATTTACTGGTATGTAAAATAAGCTGACACGACTAGTTGAAAAGAAATACACTTAGGAATTTGGCATGTTTTGCGGTGTGGCACGTTATATATATTTTTTAAAACATCATTTTGCTTATTTTGTATTATTATGCATGCATCTCACATTATAATGCTTCATTATTTAATGCAGAAAAGGCATCATTTTGCACTTGATATGCTCATTAAACCTGCATTGGTCATTATGCATCTGTGTTTTGATTGCCAGTGAATATTCTTTCATTCTACAAACATCCAAGAAGAAGAAACATTTTTCAATGGGAAATGACTAAGGCGGAAAAAAATCTTCCAAGATTTTTAATGTTGTTTGAGTCACTGACTATTAATGAGTTGTGAGACAGTATATTTTTACAGTATATTGTTACAATGAAAAATAAGCTGGAGATAAATGGCACGTGACGACTTGACAAGAAATACCGTACATGTAGGAAGTGCATGCATGTCCTGCGGTGTGGCACGTTATATAAACTAATGTTAAACTAATCTAAAATTATATATATATATATAATATTTAAAAACATTTTAAACAGCATTTTGCTTGTTTATGCATGCATCCATCTCATATTATAAGGCTACTTTTTAAAATAGCCACTGCTATCTGAAAGGTCAAACTGCGACACACACACAGACAGCAGGGCACAGGTAACGGTCTAAATGATCTATAATTTCAGCGGGGAACAGAAAAATCAAGTCCTGCTTTCTGAATCACTCATATTTTGTGGCTCTGCAACTTTACAGAACAGACCTTACAGGCTTCAGGCTGTCACATGCCAAGAAGGAAAAATCTGATCATATGAAATGCAAGGGAGGGAGAGAGAAAAGCCCCTGGCAGGTTTGTCAAGCTAGGGAGTGAATGCAGAAAACCACGGCTGAATGACTGGCCAAGCAGACAGAAAGAGAGAGAGAGGGGGAGAGAGAGAGAGGCAGAGAGAGAACAGGACATGATGTCAGAAGATGTGACCCTAGAAATGACTGGGCTGTGTCCCAAATCGCCCCTTATACCCTTAAATGGGGCATTTTAGTCCACAGCCATTTGAAGCGCATCCGAAACCACAGTAGACGTTATCAAGTGCACTCGTTCAATCCAATAATGCACCACAATAACAAGTGTACAACCAACCAATGTATGCTCAGAATACCCATAATGCACTTTGAGGGTCATGCAGAATGAATTCCTAAACCTGCAGTTGAATCACTCATACATCCGTTTTCCAAACTGCTGGTCCAATTTGGCTATAGCGTATAAATTCCTTTAAGGTTTATTTATGCTAGTTCAAGATGAATAGAGTTCAAGATAAATCTTTTTAAGCCTATAGTATCCAGCTGCAGACCCGCACCAGTTTCAGAACCCCAGCGGCAGAACCGGAAATAAGGAGCGGAGTTACGTTCTAACCAACACCAGGGCCAGGAACGTAACTGAGGGGCGGAGCTTAGGTTTGAAACCTAATAACGCCACCTAACGTAATTTGGAGGGTATTTTACAAATGAAACAGCTTTTATTGAACAAGAAACGTCCTACTCTCTACGTATGTATGTTATGATACTACATTACAGTACAATATATAAACATTTTAAAACATTGATTTTGTGTAATATAATTGTATATGGTTTCAGTTATTCGTTTCATTTTATTATGAGTTACTTCCTGATCATGATGGTGAAAAAATAATACTTTTAATGTATAATAGTTTAATAATTTTAGCTAAGCAGTTTATACATAGGCCTACGTGTAGATTTAGGAAGGTAAGACCTTTGTTTGTTTGTTTTTTATGAAGGAGTTAACTTTGTATAATAAAGCTTTGAAAGATATAAAACGAGATAAGCATTGGAGGTTTCCAAAATTATACACAATTTGATAACTCATTAGACCTCTGTGATATTTTATGTTCTTTTTATTCATTAATTTATTGTGTTTATGTATTTGTAAGATGATTTTGATTTTTTGAAAAAAAATGCATGGGTATTTTTTATGAAATATACTTTATTTCACAAGAACATGTGAAGAGTTCAGATGCAAAAGCCTCTAAGTGCCATTTGAAATTTTCTTCTAAAATGATTATTTTTATCAAGCTTGTATATTTAAGTTCAGTAATTTCACTTAAATGGCAATGAACATTACCTATTAATTGCCATTTAAGTGAAATTACTGAACTTAAATATACAAGCTTGATAAAAATGACCATTCTAGAAGAAAATTTCAAATGGCATTTAGAGGCTTTTGCATCTGAACTCTTCATGTGCAGCATGCATTTTTCGTGTAAAATAATAATGTCAACATCTAAAAAAGAGAAAATTCGGCATTGTTTTGTTAAAACAATCTATACAAAATAACCAGTTCAACCCAAGCTAGGCCTGTTTTATCACAACAATCTTGTATAAATTTAACTTACAATGTATCAAATGAGGAACTCACTCTCTGGCCCATTTTGTCCTTACATTCTTGCTAAAATAATTATAATGCAATAATAATAATTCCGCCCCTCCCTCACTTCCGGTTCTGGCGCTGGGGTTCTGAAACTGGTGGTGCTGCGGGTCTGCAGCTGGATATATCTCTTTTAAGCTGCCAGTTTGCTAAGTTTCAAATTATTATTAAACGGCAAGCGCAAACTCAAGGGTCCGAATTCACTCCCTCAAGTGGACTACATTAGTGGAGCACTGTAGGGAATAGTGAATGAGGGTATAGGAGGCGGATTCAAACATATCTCTGGTTTTTCTGGTATCAGTCACAATTTTTTCTCTTACATTTCTGTCCAGACATCAGAAGCACATCTCCTCACAGCCAGTCTTCCTTTGTGTGTCGTGTAATAGAGAAATTCCTGCCGCTATTTTGACTCCTTTACTTATTATATAAGCTCTTAATGAATCTCAGCTAGTTAAAATACCATCATATGTAGCAACACATACACACAACGACTGCATTTATCCCAGAACACAGCATTGTTTTGGATGTTCTGTAAGTTCCTTCACGAAACATATGTAATAAAAACAGACAAATCGAGTTGTGAACAAATCCCTATGACTTTAGGTTCAGTCTCTTTAGGTTCAGTGTTAAAATGCTGATGTGAATACTATAAGCGGATCAGAAATAAATGTTTTGGGGGTGGGGGGTCCGAACCAAACGAGCAAAGCGAACCAAGCAAACCAGGTGAACCAAGCGAACCAAAGTGAACTAAACGAACCAAACAAACCAAGTGAACCAAACAAGCTAAGCGAACAAAGCGAACTAAGTGAACCAAGAGAACCAAATGAGCTAAGCGAACCAAGCGAACCAAAGCGAACCAAACAAGCGAAGTGAACCAAGCGAACCAAACAAGCTATGCGAACCAAGCGAACTAAGCAAACTAAGCGAACCAAACGAACCAAGCGAACCAAGCAAACCAAGCGAACCAAACAAACTGAGCTAACTAACCGAACTAAGCGAACCAAGCGAACCAAACGAGCTAAGCGAACCAAAGCAAACCAAACGAGCTAAGCGAACCAAAGTGTACCAAACGAGCTAATCTAACCAAGCGAACCAAGCGAACCAAGCAAACCAAGCAGACCAAGAGACCTAAAGAACCAAGAAAACCAAGTGAGCTAAGCGAACTAAGCGAGCTAAGCAAGCTAAGCGAACTAAGTGAACCAAAGCGAACCAAACAACCTAAGCGAACAAAGCAAACCAAGCGAACCAAGAGACCTAAAGAACCAAGCAAACCAAGAGAACTAAGCAAGCTAAGCGAACTAAGTGAACCAAGTGAACCAAGTGAACCAAGTGAACCAAGAGACCTAAAGAACCAAGCGAACCAAACAAGCTAATCGAACCAAGCGAACTAAGTGATCCAACAGAGCTAAGTGAACCAAGCAAACTAAGTGAACCAAACGAACCAAGCAAGCTAATTGAACCAAACGAACTAAACGAACTAAGCGAACCAAGTGAACTAACCAAACCAAGCAAACAAAACGAGCTAAGCGAACCAAGCGAACTAAGCGAACCAAACAAGCTAAGCGAACCAAGCAAACCAAGCGAACCAAGCGAGCTAAGCGAACCAAGCGAACTAAGCAAACTAAGCAAACCAAACGAACCAAGCGAACTAAACGAGCTAAGCGAACCAGACGAACCAAATGAGCTAAACAAACCAAGTGAACCAAACAAGCTAAGCGAACTAAGCGAACCAAGTGAACCAAGCGAGCTAAGCGAACTAAGCGAACCAAGAGAACCAAACGAAATAAGCAAACCAAGCAAACCAAGCAAAATAAGCTACAAGTGTGAACACAACCATATCGAGATCGTTCAGAGGTGGACCGAGACTCCATAAAAAGGTGGAACGACCTGCCAAACTCAACCTGAGTTTAAGAAATGGTTCAATATTTTAAGGCATGAAGATTTTAAGGCATGAAGAAAAAAACATTTAAATATGTAATTTTGGTGATCAAAGATGTGTTTTAAGGGATAAAATGATTTACTACAGGGTGATTTTAATGTATCACAACCAAGAGAATAGACCCGAACACACCCCTAAGTTTCCTGTTGGCAGCAAGTGCAAGAAAGAAAAAACAGCTATAGTTAAAAAAACGCAGTCAACACATAACTCAAGGCCCGGCCACTGAAAGATGGATGTGTTCTGCAGTGATTCAGTGAGCTTCACTCGGGTTGATTACTTTGAGGCGACTGGAAAGAGTGAGCTGGTAAATTAAATGACTTGGCTGTTTCTTTTTCGGTGTGCAGGAAATTCCACTGCTGGGACCCGGTGATTTGGAAAATGCTGACATGAGGGACTTAGCCAGCTGTTCATTACCGAGCACCTCAGCTAATTAGCGAAGTGATGATGAGGTAATGCCTCTGACTCCATTATCTCACTTCCTGTTTGGAGAGAAAGCGCAACAGGAGCTAAAGATAACACCTGAAACCCAAACACACAAGAGTGGGCCAAAGTAAATATCCTGCGAGCACGAGGGGCTCTTCTGGTAATGAGATGGAAGAACCGTGATTTCATGCCCTCCAGTTAAAGCTACTGCAGATCTAATGACTTCATTCCAGCGTTCTCTCAAATAAAAGAAGAGACTGCGTGAATGACTGGCTTAAACGACTCAACAGCTGTGCATTCAATCTTGATTTGCTCTCATACGCATTTGAGTTGTAATTCCTGAGAGCCAAATTTACATTTACAACATCTCCATCCTCATGTCTAAATCACAGACACACTTTGTGTATCACATTTACATGCGATTCATAAAATGTTACTGTGGTTTTATTAGTATTTTGAATTGGCTTTTATTTTTTTATCTAATTAAATATATATAATTTTAGTTAAACTTTTAGTAATTTCTTTTTTTAATTTTTTTAATATTGCCATTTAAGTTTTATCTACTTTTATGCAATTATTTATTTCTAGATGTGCTTCAGCTTTTCAAGACAACATTTCACATTTTTGTTTAATTTTATATATATATATATATATATATATATATATACACACACACACAGTAGTGGCGAAAATTGACAGCCAGAGGGGATATTTGTTTTTAATAACTCTACAAGTTCAATTAAACCATCAAAATATGAGGAAAATATTTTAGATATTTTAAATATGTGGCAGGAACAAAACACTAAACTTGGTATTTATCTGACTAAATTATCTGGCAAAAAGGCAAAATACAGCAAGCATTTTATTTTAACATGCAAAAAAGTGCATAAGTCACAGCAAAAAGCAAAAATTGACTACAATATAACCAGTTATTAATATTTTGTTGGTTCTCTCTTGTTTTTGCATGTTCGTTATTTCTTTGCATGGCACAATTTGACATTTTTCAATGCGTTCTCACAAATAAATCATTTGACTCCAAGCACAACTCTGCAATATGCTTATTTATTTATTTTTTTTTAAATATTTGAATAAAGGGTGAAAATGTACTTTGCCAGTCGTTACTAATGGCCACTACTGTACATATTCCAGATGTTTCTGTCATAGAAGTCATTACACCAGCACTTGAGAAGATCAGAAAAACATGCTCTGGTAAAGCCAGTCCAGACCTGACGTCAATGAGCAAACCGAGTCACCAGGAATCTCAGCTGGACTCAATCACAGGAGGTTTGCAATGAGATTCAAGAATGTGTCCTCGACTAGTGCTCAAAAGATGTACGAATTAAAATGTTTGCAGGCACAAATAATGTTACGAATGGAAAGAATTACCTGGTGTACAAGATGTACAGTATTACAAGTACAAGATATACAAGATATACTGTATACACAAAATGCTGAAACCCTATTGTAATTGTAAGGATTTGTAAAACTGATCGTGCAGACTAAACCGTAAATGCTGGAGACTTGAACCTGGCCAGATGGTAGGCCTCATCGGGAGAGCCAATCAGAGTATGACCCTGATTGGCCCATAGGTGGCGCCACAGCAACCAAAAGTACTAAATTTCTCATAACTCTTAGACTTTGACTTAGACTTAAGGTGTTTACACCACTGTGATCCTTGGCTCAAGACGGGCAAAATGTATAATGCTTATATGATTTAGGCAGCAAAAATGTCTAGCTATGTCGCATTTTGTCCAAAACCTACTTTTGCAAACTAGTCCCTGGTTTTTCACCCGATCGGAACCAGACCATTCTAAGGGGCTGTTTACACCTGGCCACTTCATGCATTTTCTCAGATCGGATAGCTATCTGATTTATCAAAACGATTCCATTTACACCTGGTCACATGAATGTGTTTTTGCAAAACGGATATAAATCCGATCTTCAATTCCAGCGCTATATGTGCACGTCACCGAAAGCAACAGATATGAGCTGCATTTTATTGATCGTCGGCTAATTTCAAAATCAGCAAAGACGGTGATAAGAGAGAGCGGCAACAGAACTGGTAATTGAGATCATTTCGTTTCTTTACTTTTAATGAAGATGGTAGTGTTAATCGTCTGCGACTTACTTTCACTTTGATTTGCGATAGAATGTGGCGCGTTGGCTTGATAGGCGTTCAGCTGCTCATCTGAGGTGATGCGCATCGCAGTAGCGTCGTCATATCTGACTAAAAAAGCATGATATATAGCCTGTAACACGCTCTCACGCGTTTATTTTTTAGCATTTTTGGGAGTAGTAACATTTACATATGTGGTTTCAAGAACCAGATACTTGTCCAGTTTCGTCTGGAATAGGGCCCAGACCACCTCCTGAAGTGGTTTGAGCGATCGAATTCAAATCCGTTTCGAATGCGTTTCGGGGGGCATTTACACCTGGTCTTTTCACGATCGGATAGCTATCCGATCACAGAAAACGCATGAAGTGGCCAGGTGTAAACGGCCCTAAGGCAATTCTCTGGACTCTCTAGTCTAGATCAATAATTATAGAAAAAAGTTGAACTTTTGCATTTGGAGTGGCTGTAAGCGAATCATTTGGAAAAGGGGTGTGACAAAATACACTCAGAATCCAATAAATCTCTATAAAAAAACTCAGAAAGTCACGAAAATTGGTGGGCATATGTGAACTAACATAGTAAACAAGCATGACAAATATTATGGAGATCAGACAATAGATGGCACTATAACTGTCAAAAAGCTTTAAAACCCGTGTATTTCCTATGTTAAATTGCTTGTTTGGGCTGTAAATGGTCTCTTCCATCTATTATGTTAGTGGTTGAATGCTTGCTAAATAAAACTCAATGTGTTTAATGCATAGACTGTAAAAAATATGGACAAAGCGTCTGTGACGTCACCCATAGACTCTCTGAAGAACGGGTTTGAAGCTGTTTATGGGGGGTATGGACGGCGCCATACTGGAAAATCTTGGACCTAGGATGGCTTGAGGGTGAGTAAATGATGGGCTTTTTTGGTGAACTAACCCTTCAATGCTCATTTAAAATAGCATAAAATATAACAAAGATCAGATCCAAGATAATTAAGCCTGAGTGATCTAAAGAGCAAATGTATAAATGCTAAAAATTAAGGAGCCTAGAATTGAACCCTGAGGCACACCATAGCCAATTTCAATCTCAGACCCAAAACCTCTCAAAAATAAACGTTCCCAGTCAACGGGAAACTTTTATTTGAATTTAAGGTTCATTTGAGTTCCTTAATAGTATAAAGTCATAGACCACATCTGTATTTGCCAGTAAAACAAACAAAAATGCTTAGTGCTCCTTTATAAATAGCATTAAAGGTGCATTTGTGTAATATTTAGGAGGATCTGTTGACCGAATGCAGTATCATATTCATAACTATGTTTTCTGTGGTTTATAAAGACGTTACATAATGAACCGTTATGTTTTTATTACCATAGAATGAGCCATTATCTACACACACTGCGGGTCCGCTTACATTGAAATGTTTTTACGGTGGCTCTGAACGGACAAACGCATTTCGTCACTTTGTTGCTCTTTGTGATAGGTTAGCTAAAGTCAGCCAATAAAACACTGACACAATAATAAACAAGTGAGAATAATATTCACAATAACATTGTATTATTGAAAAATTTAGTAGGCTAAACCTAGTTTCTTAATTTACCTTTGTAAAGATTTACAAATTGCTGAACTGGCTACTCTCTGCTGTCTCAGACGACGACATCACTTCCTGTCGGCCACCGTAACTTCTGTTGGCTGCAATTCACAACTTCACCACTAGATGCAGCTAAAAATGTACACACTGCACCTTTAAATACAACAAAGACCAAAATAATGACTCAAGCTGTAGAGTCTAGAGAGAGTGTAATCTCACCTCAGGAGGAATGGGCTCCAGACCAGCGCAGTTCTCATTGCATTTATCATAGACAAGGCGGAGTTTGCGGAAAAGCACGGAGAGCATCCGCAGGTGCTCCTGCAGTTTCCCCAAGCGGTCCTGATGAGTGTTGGGATGATAGCTGACTCCGTTGGGCAGCTGAGCGAGGAGACAGAGGGAGTCAGAAGTGTGGAGAGAGGGATCAGTCTAGGGCTGCACGATTAATCACAACCGCATGTGATTTGGCAAAGGCTGCGATTATTTTATGTGCAGTTTATGGGTGCAGCCGATGATCGGTAGTAAATGCTCCATCTGAATAGAGGGCGTCTCTCACTCACTCACACACACAGACACACACATCCATCTGAACAGAGGGCGTCTCATGCACACACACAAACACACATCCATCTGAACACCAGAGGCCATCTCACACACACAAACACACATCCCTGAACACCAGAGGGTGTCTCTCACACACACACACACACACACACACACATCCATATGAACACAAGAGGGGGTCACACACACAATCCATCTGAACACCAGAGGACGTCTCACACCTACACACACACACACCCTTCTGACCACCAGAGGTCGTCTCTCACACACACACACACATCTGAAAAGAGGGCGTCTCACACACACACACACACACACACACACACACATCTGAACACCAGAGGCCATCTCGCACACACAAACACACATCCCTGAACACCAGAGGGCATCTCACACACACACACACACACACACAGACATCCATCTAAACACCAGAGGACATCTCACACACACATCCAACTGATCAGAGGGGGTCTCACACACACACAATCCATCTGAACACCAGAGGACGTCACACATACACACACACACAACCATCTGAACACCAGAGGTTGTCTCACACACACAAACGCACATCCATCTGAACACCAGAGGTTGTCTCACACACACACACACACACACATCCATTTAAACACCAGAGGACGTCTCACACACACATCCATCTGATCAGAGAGGGTCTCTCTCACACACACACACACACACACACAATCCATCTGAGGACGCACAATCCGAACACCAGAGGTGGTCTCACACACACAAACACACATCCATCTGAACACCAGAGGGCGTCTCACACTCACACACACATCCCCCTGAACACCAGAAGTACAATGTGCATCATTCCAGGAAATCCCTATCACTGTTGCTGAATAAACAGAAGATTGAAACACTTTGATAAAACATGACTAATAAACACACGACTGCCTTATTCTGTGTGAGAAGCGCATTATCTCACAGGAGGATGAGCTCAGCTGTCGTTAAGAAGTGAGTTTGGAGTAAAACTAAAGCATGTTATTAAATGTTGTCTTTTGTTGGACATGAGGTTCATAAATGCTTCTCATGTCTGGAAAGATGTTTGACACGTTGCATTTTCAAATGCACGTTACAAGTGACTCAAACTCACAGTGCTTTCAGATGGAGCAGCATTTACAGAGCCATACATCAATGACAAGCTGCACATAACAAACAATCACATTCACTTGATCAGTCTTCATCTGTGGGTGATGAACTCACCTGCATGTTCCTCAGCAGCTGGAAGATCTCCATGGTTCGTAAGACGATGTCCTGCACCGTCTCCTGTCCGATCCGACATAGTGATGCTGTGTTCACATCCCGAGCTGCCTGAGCCTGTTGCCCGGGGAACGGGGCCAGAGGAGGGGTTGCCATGGGGACAGAGGGATGCAGGCACTGATGGATGGATGGCTATTCGGTGAGACTTAGTGGCATGTCTGTTATGAGGGAATATTGAGTTGAAAATTGCACCACACAACATGTATCACACTTTTAAGCTTTGGTAATAAACCCATAAGTGTAGATCCAAAACAGTAAATTGCGAAAGCTAACTAAAACGCATATAATAATAAATAATAATAATAATAATAATACATATTGTTTGGGTCTATGAAAACATTATTCAGCTTTGCATTGAGCTACTATCATCAAAACGTGAATGTATAACGGAACTGTCATAACATGTACGTGACGTGAACACAGAAAATGTCATTCGTCTGAACATAAGCAACATTTGGAGCGTTTTTAAATACCTTTGTTAGTGTTGTTGACAAGACGTCATTTTTGCCGTGCTGTGATCTCGTCTTTCAGTCAGCCATCGCGAGATTGCACGAGAACTCACCGTGTACTGTTACACGCGCAAGCTGAGGGCGAGGCGCCATCTAGTGTTCAATTAATTATGAAATTATTTATTTCGGAGATCATGCATGGACGGTGTTAAATATTGGCAGTACAGTCCTGCGATAAGATATGTATTAAACAAGAAAAAACTATCAAAAACGGTTGCATTTAGGCCTGTATAATTCCATCAGTGCATTATATTAGCGATTAAAAGAGCAAGTTGGATCTCAAATCATTGATTCATCATGACACAAACAAAGACAGACATTTTTTTATTTTTTTATTTTTTTATTTTTTATTGACAAATTTCAAATAACAACAGATGACAGCATGAGCAAAAGGAGACAATTACATCAAATTAGAATACAAGTACAGTAAAGATGTACAGTAACAAAACAAAAAACAGAGGAAGTTACTTAAATTACATATCGCTCAACATTTTATCATACATTTTCACAAATTTAGCAAATTTTTTGTTATTAATTCTTTTTAGTGTCTTAATAAAATAATTAAATTCACAGAGAAAAACATTTAATTTGGGTACTCTCAAAGAAAATTTGCATTTATGAATAAAATACTTTGCCAATAAAATAAAAAATATTTCCTATGTATTCTGTTCTATGATTACAATTCGAAAAATAAAAAATTGCAGCTCTCAATTTTAGTTCAAATTCCAATTTTAGTTTTGAAGATAGGAGTTTTGACAAATCAATCCAAAATTCTTTGACAAGGGAACACCCAAAGAAAAGATGATAAATTGACTCGGTACAATTTTTACAGAAATTACAATTCAAATGAACATTATCAAATTTATGTGTGATCTCATTGGTGTATATTGTGCAAAAATTTTAAGTGTAGTTCTTTCACCTTATTGGGGATACAATATTTATAAGGTAAGATGTATGCTTTTTTCCAATTAATATTTTCTATCAAGGAATTCCAAAAGAATTTTCCTCTCGGGCTAATTCGTTTTCTAGACTGAAACACATTTCTAATAATTTTATTGCTACATTTTGGATCGTAAATACTTTTGCCTTCAATCAGACATTTATTTTCACTCTTTACAATCACTTCATACGATAAATGGCACTTCATTAAATGAACAAGACCATTTGGTATAGCTTTTACCATGGTAAAAAATTCTTTATGAATAACTGGGAAATTATATTTAGACATGAAATCATAATAAGAATAAACATTCCCTTTTGAGTCTAACATATCACAAAGATAATCAATACTTTTTTCATGCCAATTCTTAAGAAACAACGACTTGTTCTTTGCAAGAATATTTTCATTGTTCCATAGCTTTACTTTAGTTGTGGGCAAAGTTTCCATGCTAAAAGTGCCAGTTTGTGGAATTTAGAGAATTTAATAGGGATCTTAGAAGGTGAGAAATTACAAGTTAACAAAAACTTAAGCCCTCCAACTTTATCATATATATTATGTGGGATAAAATACCAAATATACTCTGGTGAATTGACACAATTCTTTACCCAGTTCACTTTGAAAGTATTATTAACATCAAAAACAAAGAATCAGAAAGCTCTTTTAACATCAGACTCTGTGATCATTGATTTCACTTGAGTTTTTTAGACCAGCTCTGCCAAATAAACCCATATTTCTTTTCAATATCAAAGAAGATGATTCCATATAGGCTAATTTAAGGTAATTTGTGTCTCTCAGAGACGCAGGTCTTGTTCCTCTCAGAAGAGAAAATGCACTATCCCGCTTAAAAAAAGGCTTTTCTCTGTTTATTCTGATTATTAGCTTGGCTTGATTTTCTGTCCTCATCCAGTGGACTATAAGGATTAGGATGAGCTGGAGGTACAAAGAGAAACAGTTTTCACTTAAAAGAGGATAAAAACTAGAGAGAGAGAGAGAGAGAAAGAGAGAGAGAGAGAGAGCAATTTTCGTTTCCTTTGAATAAAACATTAAGGTGGATTAGTTAACATGAACTACAATGAAAAATTATTTTAAAGCTCTCTCTATGGGTATCTTGTGCATTTTCAAGTTACCAACCTAAATTTTATATACAGACACATTATTATTACTTATAACTTCAAAATGTTATATTTTGTTCATGAAATGACTGCAATGTGTTTGCTAGCATTAATTTAGCCCTGAAAACTGTTCCCCTCAACCTGAATGCCTGCTTTTAATGTAACCATGCACACTTTGGTCACTTGTTTATTGTTTATTTGAAAGAATTAAAAGAGCCGTTTATGCTTGTATTTTTCAACTGGTCGAGGTTGATATGGGATTTGTAAAGTAATAAGTAATCCATTACTTTTAAGAGAGAGTAATCTAATTACACTGTTGATGATGTAAATAATCACTTTTTTAACTTACCCAACACTGATGACTACAGGTGAAATATTACCAATGCTTTCATTTATGCACACTATTATCTTTAGAAATTCCCCAAAACTGTATTTTTTTCATGTTCCAAATTTGTTGTATAGCCTACATTTCTAGTGCAGACTGACTGAAAAATCACTGTATTTGCAACACATTCTCACCCCAAGGCGTCACCTTGGACCATGCTTCAATATTTGACGTTTTAGGCGCCCTTTAGCGTCTTGTTCCAAAGGTTGTAGTACATTACTAGGGTCACATTAAAAATAATAGTGAGCAAACCGGTTCAAACTGGTGTAGATCTGATAAATAATGAGCACAGCGACACACACTACACTGACTGAACAGATGGAGGACACTGATTAATAAGACACAGGTGATACAGATGACCACTGAACACAACTGACCTGATAATGACAGTAACCATGGATACGAAGGAGAGGCGGGAAAAGAACAAAGCAGAACAGGAACCAATCAAAATACAAACTGAAAGTCGAAACAAACACTGACACGTACGTTTGTGTAAAATCACTTGGGGTCCACATTATTTTCTCAAACTAGTAAAATTATGCTGTTTTGTTTTAATAATGCAGTGTATATTGCTTCCTTGATTCTCCCCAAAAGAATGGAAGTGGAATGTGACAACATGCCCCATAGGCGGGGTGCATGACCATTTGCGAGATTAAAATGTTACAAACCTAAATATGTTGTCAATAAAATAATTATTAATTAACTTTTTCATACAAAATAATGGCATTTTTTAATAATGAAAATAAAGTAATTATTCTGCTGGTTGGACAGCATTAGGCACTAAAAAAATGCTGGGTTGTTTCGACCCATATTTGGGTCAAATATGGATAAACCCAAATGTTGCGTTAAAAATACAATTACAAATTTACAGTTGAAAGTAAAAGTTGAAGTTGGGTTAAAATTACATTTTTAATTACATTTGATATGATAGTGAATACACTACTGAGTTTCTTTTTGTCATGCTGGCACGTGTGGAAGGTAATAAACCGTGTGCGTTACACCGATCACCCCTATATTCTGTAATAATTAAAAGTGAATATCATAAAGTTTAGGTTTGATTAGCCTATGCGATTAATTTACTGTATGTTCTTTTGGGGGGGGGGGGTGACATGAACTGTCTTTTCCTTTACCTTCTTAGCTGGGAAATAAATGTGTAGTTTCTTATTGCCATATCAAAGCAAACATTAGAAATGATAATATTTACTTGAAAAAATAGCTTCACCCTAAAAACCAACATTGTTTAGGTAATTATACTAAATTAAGAGGAAACGCTTACTACAAGCAATACAAGAATTCCCGTGTTTACTTTTTTAATGGCATGTTTGCTGTTAAACAGGACCGACCCTCATTAACCTGCAGCCCTAGGCAAGATTTTACCTGTAAAAATCCAATTCCACTGATCATAAATCATAAACTAAGATTCTGGATAAATGAAGAGGATCACTATATCATTCTGAATAGACAATTCAACAAAATAACAAGTGATTTAATAGAGGCTCTGATAAAATGTTGATCGCTGCAGTGTATTTAAACATATATATTTAATTAATTTGAATGATTCTTTTTAAATATTGGTTTGAATGCATCAATGACTTGCTCATAAAGACTCATTTTTAGATGAATCGGTGTTTTTGAACGAATCTCTTGAATCATTCAATGACTAATGTAAGTGTCACTTGTCACCTACTTGTGCAACGGTTTAATTAAAACAATCTTACAATACTAATACTACGTTTATCTTAAACATTTAAAGGACTGCACGGAAACCTTTGGATCTTTTTAATAAACTACAGTGTTTATTTATGCTTAAATAATAATGTCCTGTACATTTATGAATGGAAGTAATGGCAAAATCCTGTAGTAAATCAGTCTGACCAAGCTTTGAAATTTGAAAATGTGTGTTTTTTTATTTGAATAGTCCATTATTGAATGTAAATTAGATGTTTTAACCCATCATGCGTTGTGATAGCGTGTCAAGGCATTCATAAATATGCAGCTATAATATACATAAACGATTCCGAATCATTTCTTATGCCGATATTCAATGGTTGCATATTATCGTGATATCTTTGTATACATTGAACAGTGGCGAGGGAAAGCTATGTTTACCTTATGGTAAAGAGTTAATATGAATTTTCAGTCTTTGCTTGAGGAGTAAAAAAATCAATATTTATTTCTAAAGAAAAATTAGGAAATGAGAACAAGAACACAGTGATCGAGATAGCGAAGGTAAACAAACAAATGCTGAGATTAACAATAATATGATCCCTTTAATTAAGGGATGATTGAAGGAGTACAGTACATTACAGCATCACAATAGTGCCGTTTACAGATGAAGAAAGACAAACATGCAGGAAAATATGTAAAATGACAAAAATAATGTGCCCGTTAAAATGATTTTCATTGCTAAAGTACCTTCATGGCACAGCAAAGTCATTTCCCATTTTCTGCTTATGCTCACAGATCAATGTTTATATGTTGATAAAGGCCTAAATTAAATCAAATTTGGACTTAACCGCTTGATTCATATGGATTGGTTTTCTGATCTCTTTATGAACTATGTAGTTGTGTTGCTGTCACTGGAGGGACAGAAATCTCTCACGGGTTTGGAACGACGAGAGGGTGAGTAATGACAATTTTTTTTAAATTTTTTGGGTGCGCTAAACCTTGAACCTTGATGATTTGCCCAAAACAGAAAAATTCCCAGATTATTTCAATTTAATTTTTAAATAAACGTGTTTAACAGTAGACTTTGTGGTGAAAAACGACATTATTTTCCACAAAATTCCATCCAAATGTGCATATTTTTGCAATAAACTTAATAATATAATCAACATTTTTTATAGTATTTTTATATTATGTATCCATTGTTTTTAATGTTTGCAATGTTGGGATTGTAGTACACAGTCTTTTGTCCTTTTTTGCTTCAAATCAAAGTTGTAACATTATGATTCTACTCATAGCTTGTTGGTTTGGTTCATGGTTTAGAAAGACTATTTTTATAATCCCTATGAGAGAAATGAATGTAAAAAAATACATTAAAAAGTGGGACAGCACTGTTTATAATACCACAAACTCAGTGAAATACCGTCATGTGACCCATCCCCGAAAAACACACAGAGGTGTCTAAAGTCCAAAGACCTCATTATACAGTAAAACAGATCAGCTCTGAAGCATGAACACCACAAAAATCCTCTTGAAAGGGTCTTGTTTCACCTGGGGATCAGTCTCTGTGTGTGTTTCACTTCGCGGGGTCTTGACAGAGACTACAGTCAGGCCTTTGGTCCGCCTGTTGCTCCAGTTGAATGGTGACCGAATGGAAACTGTATGTTTTGAAACAGACCTGGGTCATCTCTCTCAACACCGCCTGTGGCTCTACTGTGTCTTCTGAGGAGTTAAAATGAACACACGGGTGAATATTTCAGAATTGAAGGCCAAAATGAAGCCATGTGAAAGCATTACCTATGGCCACGTGGGCGGAGAGCACCGCCTGGTTCATCGTCAGGGCCCAGATGTGGAGGTTGTGCACGGCTCTGACTCCCTTCACCCGGAGCAGTTGATCCCGCACCTCATTATAGTTCACACCGGCCGGCGTCCCTGTGGAGGACAAACACTGAGGATGACTGCCCAGTTGCATAAAGCACCTTAAGTGTAATTTTCTCTTAAGTTCGCCCTTATGTTTCCCTTAAACCTAAGGGTGTTGCAGAAAAAAAAAAAAAAACCTTAACCCTGTCTTTCTTTCTTGTGCTTAAATATACTATGGAAGTCACTGGAGTACAGCAACTGTTTGGTTAGCCACATTCTTCCAAATAACTTTTATAATTTCAACAGAAGAAAGAAACTTGAGAGAGTAGTAAATGGTGACAATTTAATTTTTTGGGAGAACCGTCCTGTTAATATTAATAAAACAACACAACACAGAGGAAATCACTCACTTTTTTGCACTTAAAAAAATACAAATATATCGGTATCGGCATCGGGCAAAATTAGTTTGAAAATATCGGCATATCGAATTTCGGCCAAAATCCTATATCGTGCATCCCTTTGATACATACCTCTGTCGTCTTGTGTAAAGTGGATAACTAGATTGTATGGCGGAATACCACAGCAAGTGCTTGGGAGCACTTTGACTCTGCGCATAATATTTATCTATGGACTCTGCGCATTAATATCATCACACCGGAGAGTGAGAGGGGGGAGAGGACTTTTCACGAGTGATGATATTACTGCGCCGAGTCAAAGTGCTCCCAATCACTTGCTGTTGGTATTCCACCATACAATATATTAATCCACTTTACACACTTAGAAAAGCGTAACGTTTTATTTTGTGTCACCGTCCTAGGTCGAGTTACACTACTCGTGTAACTGTATTTAAATAGGGAAAACGTGGAGGTGTTTGGTCGCTTCTCTGCCTGGCCCATATTGAATGAACTGGGCTAGTTAAGTGCGATCAAAGTGCGATTGAGCGCACACACTGAGACATAGGTATCTATCAACTCGTCTTAGTTAAGGGAATAACATAGTTTAATATGAAAAAATGGTGGAGTATCCCTTTAAGTATCATTCTTAACCCTCTGGGCTTCTTCGGTCAAAAATGATCGAAAACTGTTACGTTTTGAAATGTTTCATTTTTTTTGCTTCATCGGATGGGGCTGAAATTTGGTGACTTTTGTTGTATTACCTATATGAACACACAAAAAAAATCAAGGAGATGATTTTGATTTGTTAAAGGGTCGTAAAAAAAAAAGTCACACTTAGCTTTCTCCCGGTCAAAAATGATCGACATAGGAAATGAATGGGAAATATGAAAAAACAGGAAAACTCAGAGAAACTTTTGGTGGTACAAGCTACAGATCAGCAACTGTGCAGAAAAAAAGTGTCCAGCAATAAAGGGGTGACGCTCTAAAACATCAAGAGTGCAAATAAGACCCCCCCACCCCCACACACACACACACGCACACAAACACACACACATACACAGAAAAACTGGCAAGACTGCATACCGGATATACGAAGATTTTTCAAATCGTCAGATTCTGGAGGCACGAAACTAACACCTGTGGCGCCTGAACCACCTGCTACAACGACAGAAGGTGGTGAAGCCTTGGCTAGCAGCACCAGTCCTGATCCAAGCTATGTTTTTCTGGCGCTAGCCAGTCTGGTGAGCATGTCGACGTCGTCACGGTGGGACCAAGCAGGTCAGTGGAATTAGCAGACTCAGTGTGTGACCTGGGCACTGATGAACCCCAGCAGGTGATTTTGGACAAATATCCTGTGAAACTGTATGGACTCAAAAAGCGTTCTTTTAGCTGCAGTTGGTACAAAAACAGCTGGATTGGCTTGAATACTCGTTAAAAGCAGATGCAGCCTTTTGTTTCCCGTGTCGCAAATTCAGTTCCTCAGACACAACATTCACCATGAAAGGATTCACTGATTGGAAACATGCAACGGAGACTAGTAAGGGATTGAACAAGCATAAAGTTCCTCTAGAGAACACATGAGGTGTGAATCTATGTGGAAAGAATCCAAAAGACGCAGACAGACAGGTACAGAGATCAGCACACTTGTCCAAGCAGACCAGCTGGCACGTAATAGATATTATATATCGGCTATTATTGACATGATTGAGTTTTTAGCTGTAAACCAAATGGCATTCAGAGGAGATGATGAAAGTTTTGCCAATTTGACAGACGAAAATGCAAACATTGGAGTTTTTCTCTCATTATTTGAATATACTTTGAGAAAAGATCATCAGCTGGCTGAAATAACCAAATCCATCCCTCGAAATGCAACATACACAAGCCATGATGTGCAAAACGAGATCATCGAAATGATGAGCGCGATACCGACAGAGGAAATTGTCAGAGAGATCGGGGACTTGTGGTACACCATCAAAGTGGACCCGCGACCCTACAGGTCAAGAAAACATTTCAATAGTTGCGCGTTACGTTGATGAAAATTACACAGCATGTGAACGCTTATTAGTCATGGCTACAGCTGAAAAGGGGGATGCGGATACTCTAACTACAACAATAATTGATGAGTTGAAAAAAAGCAGACTCAGCACTGACAAGATATTAAGCCAGGTTTGTGATGGTGCTTCCCTTATGCAGAGCCGATCCGCCCTATACGCACACTACGCAAGCTGCGTAGGGCCCCGCAAATTACTCAAGGCCCCGCCTCCCCCTCCTCGTGTCATAGCGCGTCAATTAATGTTGACAAAATGAAGCGAAACTATCCCTCTGGTCACGATAAGAGGAAGAAGAAAAACATGAGAGTGAATTGCGGGAACAACATTCAGGTAAACTTCTGTTGCCTCCTCTCCAAATTTGCTGTCAGTCAGCAAAGTAAAGTTAAGTTTATGTCCATTTCTATTGTGTTTTTTCGGTCTTGCCAACCTAGCTGGGCAGACAGACAGTGATGCATCTCCTGTATCGCTTCTCTTTGTGCCTGACTGACAAAAGTGAGAGTAAAATACAATTATTTATTACGTTTGTTTTTGATAAACAACAAAGTGCAAGTTGTGCAACGGTGTTTGTTTATTGCAGCTCGGAAAAGATAACCGCGTCGCGTGTGTTATTATGCTATCATGCGTTCATATGCGCGTGCACGAAATGAAACGCGCATTTTTTCAAGCAGAAATATATGTGGACATACTGTACAATATATGGGCGGGAAATGATGGCGCTCCTCATCAAAGTACACATTATACATACATACTTTTAAAACAAGACACTGATTATCTAGTCTCAGTCAATGTGTAGTTAAACATTCTAAACAACTGCAGCAGCACTAATTATGCAAGATGGAAAGCAATATTGACAATTTGACATTATATTGAATTTAAAATGTTGATTAGCTGGACATACTGGTCAATGTGGATGCACATCCCTCAGTAATTAATAACCATAAATCAAAAATTGCTTCAACATGCATAATAAAAAAAAACTATAACATGCCATGGCAACACAAGAGAACAAAAGTTAATCCCAAAAGCCAAACCTCAGGGTTATAATTTATTATGTTATTCTTATTTATGTTTACGTTAATTTTCACTTACTTAATAATATTCACTTGTTATCTTAATATTCTATGGAAAATACTCTATTCAATAAATATTGTTTGTTTGAACCTCATTCTGTTCTTTGACTGTTTTGTTTAAAGGAGGGAGGATTGTATTTGGAGCGCTGAAGTGTCAGGTGTGACTGTGTAGCATTGGCAAATGGTTTGCATAGCTCACGTCACGGCGTCACGGGTCAGGTAGAGGGCCCCTTAGCAGAATTTTGCTTAGGGCCCCAGGGAGGTCAGGATCGGCACTGCCCTTATGTCAGGAAAATATGGAGGAGTGCAGAAACTACTCAAGGATAAACTTGGCCGTGATATCCCGTGCGTGCACTGCTTTAATCACCAGCTCCATTTGGTTATTGTTCATGCCATGTCAGTCGAGAATGCAGTTGAGGAAGTTTTCCATATCTGTAATCTGCTCTACAAATTCTTTAGAAAACCCACAATATCAATTCACTACAAAGGCCAAACTTTAAAACGCCTGTTGGATCAGCGGTGGACAGGTCATTTGGCGACAGTATCTATCATCATTGACAATTTTGATGATATTTTAACGGTACTCACTGAAGTGGAGAGTTCGAGGGCCCTTGGAGCAGATGTGCGCATCGAGGCCATGGGTCTCCTTCGCGCAGTTACGCAGCTGAGCTTCAAGTTCATAGCTAACCTGATCCGGAGAGTTTTAGCCCTGTTAGAGCCCCCAAAGCGCATGCTACAAGCCGAGAACATGGACTTGTATACTGCTGTAACACTCGTTAACAGTGCTTAGAAATGCATTGGACAACTTCGCAATGAGACAGCATTTTGTGCGTTATGGAACACATCTGTACCAGCCGCCGATGACGACGCGACAACAACAACTGGACCAAGTAAGAGAAAGCGTGTCTTGAATCAAAATCTACGGGATTTTGTAGTGGAGGAAAGCGTTGGAGAAAACAAAACTAATGAAAAATCTGAACTGGAGAGGTTGTTTTATAGTGTTGTGGATGCAGTGCACGGAGAGCTATCTGCGCGTTTTGGTGAGCGTAATAGCCATCTCATTGGTGCGCTGGCTGCCTTGGACCCGGAGGCCGACAGAGAGAACTTTATGGATACAGTTAAGATAAAACCTCCACTGGAGCTAACAGGCACTGAACTTGTTGAATCAGAGTATATCGTGGGCCGCCAGTTCCTTTACAACAAACTCCGTGAAAGTGAACTTCCTCCAGATGATGGAAAATGGACACTGAGCAACATGTTAACCAAATTCAACGGTGCCCTGCAAGCAATGCCCAGTGTGCTTACTAGGCGCATCAACAGCTATGTGTGAAAATTAATTTTCCGCACTCAAAAACATCTATTCTGAACACCGGCGGAGCATGCTTCACAAACGGAAAGCCCATCTCATCCAACTTGCCTTCGAGAAGGACCTTACCAGGAGATTCAGAAATGAATGGAAAGAGAAACTCATGCGGAGATTCCACTCCCAAAAACGTCGACTTCAGCTGTATTAAGAACGTGAGTGGGCCAGTTATTTTTATTACTCTTCTTAAGTTGCACCAGCCCTGACACAATGCTAAATCATAAAACAGATATGTACAATAGCATTACGATGTCCT